AAATCCATTGCAAAATTAGGATCTGCTAAGCTTGCATCTCTTTATCGTGCTTGCCACCTTCTTACTCCAGATTCAATTTTTTATCTCTATAAATCTCAAATCAATCCTTTTATGGGATACTGTTGCCATATCTGGGGCAGATCTTTCACTGATGCTTTTTCTCTTTTAGACAAGGTGCAAAAATGCATTGTAAACATAGTTGGACCTTGCAGCCAACCTCCAACCATTATTACATTGGTGAATGTTGCTTCTCTAACTCTTTTCTATTAATTCCATAATGGGCAATGTTCTAAAGAGCTAGCATCTTTTGTGCCATCCACTAAAATTGATTCTCATGTTACTTGTTATTCAATTATTTCTCATCCTTTTACTGTGACTTTTCGTAAGTGCTCCAAAAATTATTATTTATCTAGTTTTGTTTCCTCAAAAATTAGTTCATAATTTTTGAGAAAACAAAACGAGTTCAAAAATTAGTTCATAAAATTTTTCATTAAAATTTTCATTAGTAAATAAAATCATTACAAAGCATGCTGTTTAAAATTGGTAACAATTAAAAGAATAAAGGAGTTTTTCTATAAAAGATTTGTATTAGATTTTCTATAAAAGATTTGTTAGATTTTCTATAAAAGATTTGTATTAGATTTTCTATAAAAGATTTGTATTTGATTTTCTGTAGAAGATTTGTATTTTCCTTGTTAAACTTCTACTTATCTTTTAGTTTTTGTTAAAACAAACTATTTAATTTTTTTTATGTCTTAAAAGGTAGATTACGCCCAAAAAATGGTGGACATACTTAAAAATGATTCCTTTGAAACAACATCACAAAACAAACTTGAGAATTTATTGGAAGCTCGAAAGTTACGAGATATTAAGCATGGTAAACTAGAAACTTTAATCATCACAAGAGCAACCATTCATAATGGTCTAACTTTTTTGAATGATGAAAATGAACTAAATGAGTCATGCCGTCATTATCTTAATCTACATAATTTAGTTGTTGATGAAAAGAAACTTGTGAAGTTTTATATGGATCAAAAGGTTTTTATATATTTTTAAATATATATATATATATATATATATATATATATATATATATATATATATGTATATATATGTATATATATATATATATATATATATATATATATATATATATATATATATATATATATACAGTAGGTAAAAAAAATATATATATATATATATATATACATATATATATATATATATATATATATATATATATATATATATATATATATATATATATATATATATATATATATATATATATATATATATATATATATATATACAGTAGGTAAATATATATATATATATATATATATATATGTATATATATATATATATATATATATATATATATAAATATATATATATATATATATATATATATATATATATATATAGTAGGAAAATATATATATATATATATATATATATATATATATATATATATATATATATATATATATATATATATATATATATATATATATATACATATATATATACAGTAGGAAAAAAAAATAAATGGCACAAGCAGTTTTTTAAAAGTTTTTTCTTTTTAACTTATTCGTTTACTCATGTTTTTTAAAAACTGTAAAAAGTTCATATGTACACAAAAGAGTACAACTATCTTGAAGATTTTTATATGTACTTGTGCATGATTTTACCAAAGGATTTTTTTTTTTAAAAACATTGAAAGCTCACAGGTGTTATATTGGAAGCAAAATAATTATTGGCACAAAAATTTTATTTCGTATTTTTATGAATTATTGCGAGAAAAAAATAAATTTTGGTAAGTTTAAGTCTAAAATTATATTTACATATGAAATATGTAAGATATTTACATATGTAACATATAAAAAATATATGTAACCCATGAGTTTTAATTAACTAAAATTAATTAATTTATAGCAACATGTGAATTGTAAAACAACATTGGACGATTTCTTAAAGAAACTTAGTTGTGGATTTGGTAAATAATGGTAAGACCTACAGAGAATTTTATAAGCAGACTGAAATCCCTTTTCAAACAGTCGGCAACATTATAAAATAATATAATTTAAATAGGACTACAACTGATATAGCAGGAAGAAGCCGTAAAAGAAAAACATCTGCTGGCATTGATATAAACATTTTACAAGTCAAGCAAAACAGGTTTGAAGCTGCTCAAAAAATTGCAGACAAAGTTAAAAATGACCACAAAATCATGATTTCAGCTCAAACTATCCGAAATAGAATCCAAGAGCAAGGATTTCATAGTAGAGTATGTCACAAAAAACCCTATCTGAATCTAAGACATGAAATAAAGATTATTATTTGCAAAAAAGTATGTTGACAAAACTATTGAGTACAGGAAGAAAGTAATTTGGAGTGATAAATCCAAATTAAACCTGATCTCATCATATGGACAGCAAAAAGTTTGCCGAAAACAAGGCAAGGCATACACATTGAGTTGCATGAGAGGGACAGTAAAATATGGTGGTCTAATCTCTAGTGGAATCAAGGCCTCAATGTCTGCAAGCAGTTATTCTGGCAAAAGATGACTATAAAATATTGAAAAGTAATTTTTTGTCTAAATTTGAAAATTTTTTCTTATTAGTGCAAAAAAATATTTGATGAATATTTGGAAATTTGTCTTATTTTTTTCCAAGAAAATATTTGATGAATTAGGATAAATTTGGAAATTTTTCTTATTTGTGCAAGAAAATATATGATAAATATTTGGAAATTTGTCTTATTTTTTTGCAAGAAAATATTTGATGAATATAAGTACGGTTTATTTTTCTACGTCATATGAACTTATATTTGACAGTTTTTGAATACAATCCTTATATATATATATATATATATAATATATATATATATATATATATATATATATATATATATATATATATATATATATATATATATATATATATATATATATATATATATATATATATATATATATATATATATATATACATACATGCATGCATGCATGCATGCATCCATCCATCCATCCATCCATCCATCCATACATACATACATACATACATCCATCCATCCATCCATACATACATACATACATACATACATACATACATACATACATACATACATACATACATACATACATACATACATACATACATACATACATACATACATACATACATACATACATACATACATACATACATGCATGCATATATATATATATATGTATGTATATATATATATATATATATATATATATATAAATTATATATATAAATTAGGGTGTCCCAAAAATATATCATAAAATAAATTTTGATGTGCGAAAAACTTCACTTGGCATCATTGTTTCTATATATACCAACAACAAAAAATTAAGTTTTTAGCTCAAGAAAAAGATTATTTAGTTGAACTTACCTTTATTTCAATAAATAAATTTTGATTTAAAATTGATTTTATTATAATTTAACTTTTATTTATGTTTTGACAAAAGCGTGGCTAACAATAAAAATTGAACAAAAGTTTTTGTGAAAATGATTACAGGGCATAATAAATACTAGTTAAAATGTCAGAGAAAATCCAAATAGATAAAAGTAAAAAAAAAGAAAGTAACTATTAGGACTGTGATTTTTCAAGCACAGATAGTGATAATCAAACTGAATGTGATGAACTGTATTTACCCAGGGACCCAGGGGCGTGGTGGCCCTAGAGGCCATTCAGGATTCCCTCATGGGCTTTTCACTTTTTTATTTAAATTTGGGCCTTTTAGCACTTTTTAATCCAAGTAAGGGCCTTTTAGCAATTTTTACTTTTTTTGATATCGTGAAAAAAATCTATTTCTAAAATATTTATTTTTGAAATAAAAAACAACTGAATAGCATTTTTAGAAAAATATGCAATTAAGTAACTGCTCAGTAAAACTGCAATACGAAAATTTGAAGAAAATTGGAACTTCCATTACCATTAAATTAAAAATCTTTGATTGTTAACTTAATGGTAATGGCTATTCTTTAAACAATAAAAAGAAAAATCATATTTGGTTATAACTTTTTTTTTTTTTTTTTTTTTTTTTTATTTGCATTTACTCCCAACAAGGCTGCAAGCAACCACTATCAAGTTTACTAGGAAAAAAAAGAATAGAGTTATAGAGCAAGGAAACGGTTGACAGAAGACTTGAAAAGTTGAAGGTTGTATGAGTCAGGAAAACATGAAGATGGGAGAGAGTTCCAAAGGATTGAAGTGCGAGGAAAAAAACTAGATGAATAAAAGTTTTTAGAGGATGCAGGGACAGATACAGTAAATGAATAAGACTTAGCTGAATGACAAGTAAAACGAGAATGAATTTTAGTTGATGGAACTAGAGATGATAACTCCTTTGAGCAGTGACCATGATAGTATTTGTAGAAAAGAGAAAGAGATGCAACTTTACGACGATGGGAAAGAGGCTCAAGCTTAGCAGATAGTCCAGGTCCAACAACATTTACAATGCGTTTTTGGACCTTGTCAAGAAGAGAAAGTGAATCGTTAGAAGAACTAGCCCAAATATGACAACAGAATTCCATACAGGGGCGAATAAGAGATTTGTAGAGGTAGAGAATGGAATCAGAAGTAAGGAAATGGCAAGCACGATAAAGAGAAGCAACCTTAGCAGATGCTAATTTAGCAATCGATTGTGTATATGGTTTCCATAAAAGGTTAGTAGTAAGCGATAATCCAAGAAGACGTAAAGAGGAGGACTCAGTTAGAGGATTGCCATTCATTAATATAGGAATGTTGACCATATTACGGTAGTTGTTTGCAGTAAGCAACTGGGTTTTTTTAGAGTTAAAATTCACAAGCCTCTGTGAACCCCAATCTATTACTGAAGTGAGTTCAAGATCAGCTGCTTGTTCTAGGCGATCGAAAAGAGAGGACTTTTTGTCAAGACAGGAGTATAAAGTTGAGTCATCAGCAAAAAGAGCTACTTTAGATGAAAGGTTGTCAGGAAGATCGTTTATGTAGATAAGAAACAAAACAGGGCCCAGGATAGAACCTTGGGGAACTCCAGAAGTTACTGGAAATAAATAAGAGTGTTGGCCTTCAAGGATGACTTTAATAAACCGGTTAGAAAGAAATGATTTGATTGTCTCAAAAACTTTCCCAGAAACACCATATGAAGCAAGCTTATGGAGAAGACCAGCATGCCAAACTTTGTTGAAAGCTTTAGATATGTCGAGAGCAATAGCCCTAGCCTCACCGCCTCCATCTAATGCACGATAAAATCTTTCAGTTACAGCAGTTAGCAAGTCGGCCGTTGAGCCAGAGGATCAAAAACCATATTGATTGTCTGACAGTAGTTTATTTGACTCAAGATGAGATGTAAGGAATTTGTTGATCAAAGACTCAAAGACCTTGCTAATAACAGAAAGAAGACTGATCGGACGATAATTGGAGGGGTCAGAATTTTCTCCAGAGTTTTTGAATATTGGAACCACAGATGCCATTTTCCAACAAGCAGGAAAACAAGACTCAGTCAAACACTTGTTAAATAGTTTAGAGAGAATTGAAGAAAGTTCTGGAGAACAATTCTGCAAGACTGTGACAGGAATGTTGTCTGGACCACAAGCTGTAGACGAGTTTAATTGAGATATGACTTTAGCAACAGAAGCTGGAGTGATTTGAATGTCTAACAATGGGTCAACCTGTTTGACTGGAATGGAAGGAAGAGAATGTCCATAAGATTCAAGAGTGGAATTAGAAGAAAAGTTCTTTGCAAATAGTTCTGCCTTATACTTGGGAGAGGTAATAAGATCAGTCCCATGAATGAGAGATGGAATGTTAGATTGTTAATAATGCTGTTGAAGATTTTCCAAATATCTTTAGAGCCTAACTTCTGCGATAAGATGCGAGATTTAGTGAACTGAGAATAATGGAGTTTAGCATCAGAAAGCACCTTTTTACATCGATTTCTTGCAATAATAAATAGCCGTTTGTTTTCAAGAGAGTTGTTCTTTTGAATAAGATGCAAAAAATGATTACGATTGGATATA